TGAAAAAGTTAGTTGGAAAAACGACACGACAGAAGAGAGAAGAGTACGATGAAGGAGAAAATTTGTTGTAAGAAGATGAGAAAATGTGAGCTGAAAGGAAAATTAAGAAAAGAAAAAAAGAACAGTGAGCAGAAAAAGAAAAGAGGACGACGGAGAAAAAAAAGAACAGAATCAATGGAAAACAAACCCTCTTTATAATCCAAAGACAGTATCATGGAGAAGGAATTTGAGCGCTTTATGGAAATTTTCAAGAAGAAATTGGCTGAAACTTAAAGTTCCGATATGAGACACGCAACAGGTTACCGTTTGATCAAATTTCTTGAAGCCACCAGTTCAGTAAAAAAGAAGAAGAAAAGAAAAAGAAGATGGGAAAGAGCTTTGTTGGCGTCAGCTAATGACGTTTAAAAGAGCGCTTGCTGGGAGGCAACCTAGTGATTTGAAAAACTTTGATTTGATTTTGGTTTGTGTAACTTTTAATCTCCGCTGGACCATTATTTTTGTACATATTCTTGTTGGGATATAGCCCCCTTTTCCCCCATTCTATTGAAGGCATGCTAGGTGGTATAGTATCTACTGAAGGCCATACTCAGTTTGAATCACCTACTGATGGGTGCCTTGGTAAGAAATTCTGCACAACTACTGATGGGTGTTGGTAAGTTGTTACCCCTATTCTGATGGCGTGTTGGTGGGATTTTGGGTCAGCTCATGACCGTAAACAAGCGTACCGGGAGGACAACCACGTATTGAATGTTTCTGTTTGTTTCATTTTAGTTGCAGTACATAGGGTTTGCAATAAGGTTATCTATGAACATGAATTGCGGAGGGAACACAGTGAGGGACATGTTAGGACGGACACGTAGGTTAAGAAAAGAAGGAGAAGCGCACATCAACGAAAGTGTCCAGCTGCAGCGGCCACAAACATTACACCGAGACTGAGCTGGTACTCTCGTAGATTGCGGCTTTTGGTTGCCACCTTAGAAGGGACCAAGTCCAAGTTAGGGTATTTTTATACCCTAAGTGCACATATAAGCTTCTTGTGTTCAGGCTTTCTGTAACTCTGACCACCACACACTCCTACACTATTTTACCAAAGGTTCTCCACATCTGTTTTCCTCTTCACTCTTGAGGAAAAAATCTCCCTTACCACTCACGGTCTCACTAGTTTTCCATCTATAGTTTGGGGGTGTGGGACGAGAGCATCTTGAAGGGTGCGTTGCTTGACCTTCTTCATTTGCGTTTTTACTATTTGTCTTGAACAATGTATCTTTTGGTTTCGCTGAATTAAGTTGATGCAGGATGTTGAGGGCACCTGCCTCTCACTCACTGCTTAAAAAGAATACAGCTAAGATCCAGATAGAAGGAGATGGTAAGAAGATAAGATGCCAGCTAAGATTGATGAGGAGCTGAGATAAGCTTACGGATCGAATGCTATAATGAACTTATGCTCCTTTGTTGGTTATTAAGTGTTCTAACTTATTATTTTTGTTTTACGATAGGTTTTGATGTATCTATTGGAACCCTGGTTGTTATGATGTTTTGCATTAAACTGTAGATTGTGTGAAAGCTAATGCTTGATGATGTTATGATTGACCCCTTTGATGTTGATGAGATGATGTGCAATTAAATGCTTATAAGCGGTGCATTCACAAGCCTTTGTGAACACAATGCATGAGATTATGATTGTATTTGTGAAATTAAGAAGGATTTGTGTATGTCAAAGGTTGAATGAGCCCCTTATATGTGACGGTTCTTGAGTTCTTCAAGATGTTGTTATTTGATCTGAATGCTATATATTTGGAGGAACATGATGATTTGACCCAGGTTTTCTATGATTGAATCAATTGCTTGTTTTGCATATGTGATCAACGGTCGTTTCTTGTTGTGTAAACCCTTTTGTGATTCGGCCAAATCTCATGAAGTTCAGCCCACTAAAAGAAACCTTTGTGTTATTCTCCTTTGAACCCCTTACTCAGGCCTTGAACAGACACTGAAACCCTTGATTGAAAATCCTTTAACGAGTTATAGTAGAAGATCTTGTGTAGGCCCGGTATACTAAATGTTCAAAGTGTTGGGTTGTTTGCAAAAACTGAATTGAAATGAGGAAAAGCATTGAGCTAAGAGCTACAAAAGAAGCCATATGCAAAGAAACAGAAAAGAAAGAAAAAGAAGCAAAGCTCAGAAAGGCAAAGAAAGTTGGGATGAATAAGAATGATTTGTGTTGTTATGATTGCTCTTAACTCAAGGATTTTGTGATCCAGAAAAAACCAATTTCGTCTGCTTAGCCCAAACCACATTATAGCCATGAAAAGTCCTTTGTGATGTGCCTCCGCTGTGACATGTTTTTGAATTGTGGTAAAACAATGTAATGGCAAAGTTGCTTCAACCCTGTCGAACACTCGTGATGTAGGATGATGAATGAGTTGATTACATCTCTAGACACTTGTGTGTGAGTGCAAACCACTTACATGTGAGGAATATTCCATGAGACAATGAAACATTCTGCGTTAATGATTGCCATCATGCATGAAATATAGCATGTTGTTCTGGAATTTTTAACATGACTTGTGTTAACACTAAAGCATGTGACATCTTATTGAACTCTTGGCTTATAAGCTTTGAGTTGAAGTTGTTTATTTATCTTGCAAGAACAGAGGATTCCTTGAATGAGTGAAACCATCAATGAATTGTTGTTGAAGATTGAGGTTACTTTCTTGTTGTGCTGAGGACAAGCAAATAGTTCTTATAGTTTGGGGTTGTGATAACAGTTTGAAAAACTGTTATTTTCATGCCTTAAAATGACAAAAAGCAACCTTTCACACTTAGAATATTAGCTTGAAATACATGTTTATCCATATTTTCAACGAAATAAGAGCCGCTGGACAGGTTTATGCTTGATTTAGTGTTTTGTGTTGCAGGTTTTAAGGTTGAATTAGTAGTGAAACCCCCTAGAAGTCCGAAGATAGGAGGAGATGGAATCAGAAAAAAGTCAACCAGTATTGAAACCAGAAAAGTCAACACGTAGTCAACCCAGAAAAAAAAGTTCAACCAGTCAAACACAAAACAAAGTCAACCGTCAACCGCAGAATACGATAATTAAAAGTCAACCAGACGACGTTTTGGGCCAATTTAAGTTTTATGCGGATTTTCGATCTTGGTTGCGGCCCCTGGACACCGTTTTAATTTTTTTATGTTACATAATTTAAGGAGATGTCTTAGGGTTTGATATCTTTGCACCAGTTAAGAAACGATAGGCAAACACTCTCTCTTTCCACCCTTGGGGTAGATTGGGAGATGGTGACAGCTCTCCTCTTCTCTTTCATCCCGGTTTTTATCTCTTTCATTCTTTCATTATTGTTCACACTAGGTTCACCTCATGAATAGGTGAACTAAAACTCTGTATGTTTGTTGGGGGAAATCAATTAATATTTGAAGCTCTCATATATGGAATTTGTTGCTTGCATCTTAAGCTAAACTTATGCTTTATTTCATCCATTAGTTAGGGTGTTCTTTCTCTGTGCTCAATGCTTGCTTGTTTTTTAACTCATTCAATGCTGATTATTGTTTTGTGCCGACTACGCGAACGTAATGGGGAGAAAGTCTAGATCGGGGAATTCTCCCAATGTGGTAATTGGTTGCCTTAATGCTCCCTGTGTTATAAAACAACACAATATTTAGGGCACATGCCTAGGAATTGTATGAACTCGTAATGTAGGGAGAAGCTTCTGAAAGGTATATTTTTCTATGAGCAGTGGACATTAACACTGATGACTGAATGTTGAATTCTTAAAATATATTGAGAGTGGCAGTACAGATGAAATTGAACCCTCACACAAATTATTCATCAATAGTATTCTCCATCGCAAATTGAAAGGTGCTTGCTCTTTGTTTAGCGCATGATCAACATCTCAGACATCTGTTTATTTTAGTCTTTTGCATAGTATAAAGCTTCCCCCCCCCCCCAATTATTTCCCTGTTCTTAAGTCTTAGTCGCACTACATCAACAAAATCCATAACTAATAAAACTTGCGTAGGCGTGAGTCCTATCTGGGCGAGAGACGGACTACTTGGTCATTAGATTTTATACTTGCATGAGTTTTCGTCCTTTCGAACGCGGTCATACTTCCGATGTTTTTAAAAACAACAGTTTCGCTGACATCATTATTTTGCGTGATCATAAATTTGTCGATCACCCTTGTTCTCCTTTACTTTCAAGTGTTTATCTCCATTCTTCTTATGCACTCAATATATATGTTTGAAGGATATCTCGAAAAATTACACTAAAACGGGAGATTGGGAACTAGTGCTTAATAGTAAAACTTTTTCGCACACCAGTATAGTATGAACTACAACACCTTTGTCCCCCGATATGAAAGATTTTATGAATTGTTTAGACGACTCGACTTTCGAAATAAAGTAAGGAAATGTGTTCTTTTAAAGTGCTTAGTTCAAAAGTTTAAGTAGATATCCGGCGTCATAGTTTTAGCTTTCAGAGCTTTCAGTAACTTTTAAATAACCGACTTCCTTTTTTAATAAAAGTTATTTATGTAAGATGACCGGAAAATTAGTATTAGAACTCACTTTAAGATTAAGGTTTAATTTAGTATCATGTCTTAGACTTTGATTATTGATATTCATGAAAATTTGGAAGGCTTTGTATGACTTTATTTAAATTAATAAAAGTATCATGAGGTTTAAATTGGCCAGAGTTTAGTATGATGAGTATATGTCTCGTGAATATGTTAAAGGTGGTGAAAAATAAATAAAATAATAAATAGTTAAGTTAAAATTGGAAATGTGTGAATTTATATTTTTTATATATTTATTATATGATTAATGTGTTAGCTAATTAAGCTTGGCCTAGAAATAAATATGTTGATTGTGTATTTATCTTGTTGGACGCACCTACGATCCTGATGAGAACAAAATTATTTCTGGATATTTTGTCCCAGATTTTTTTTTGGATGGCATTAAAAATAAAAATAGAAATAAAGAGGGCTGCTGTTAGCAGGGGAGGGGGAGAGCGTTTTCGAGAAACAAGAGAGAAGACCAGAGGGAGCGAAACTCACCCAACCTCGTTCTTCTTCTTCTTCAATTATTTTTCTCTCTTTTTCTCTTTAGAACCAAAACCCCTTTTTATGCCAGTTCTTCTTCTTCTTCTTCAATTTTGTTTTTCCTCTTTTTCGGACCAAACCCTAGAACCGTGAGCAATGAGGATTGGAGGCTGCCAAGGGTAGATTTATTGCACGAATTGGTGAGTTGAGAGATAGCCGTGAGGACTTCGTATCAAGGTATGGGAAGTTAATTTCCTGTATGATTGATGTTGTTTATGATAATTGATAAATTGGGTGCCATCCATGTTTATGTTGGTCGGCATGAGCTCTGTTATCGGTATGAACATTGTGATACTACGTAGATGCTATTTTAATGAGATAATTCCATTAAGAGACTTCATAAAGTAAATTTGAAGCATGCCATGTCTCGGTGATATGTTATGATGTTCATTATCTCGTGTTTTCATACGTCTGATCATTGGCTATGGTAATTGGACTGCGTCCATGTCTAAAATGGGAACTTGGTTGAAATACAATGATACACCTAATTATAAAATTGTTGTATTTCTGGATTGAAATTGGATTGTGTGTACAGGTGACAGCAAAGTTGGTACTTTTGTTCTCAGTTCACTGAATTGAAACTGGTTTCAATGCCTTGTTATCTGTTGGCGTGAAAAGTGGTGTTTCATGTTGTAAGGCTTTTGTTTAAGGAGTTGAATTTGTGTTTGTTTGATTAATTTCTTTTTGCCTATCTGTACATTCTTTCATTTGAATGTTTGGGATTATTAAAAAGTATACGTTGTTGCGGTTTCGTAGGGGAAATGTTAGTAATGAGTAAACATAAAACTTGTTTTACATTAGCATGTATAGACTTGGCAATGAGGGTGGTATGAACTAGAAGGACATTGATGAATAATGGACAATAGAAACTGAATTGCATGACTGATTGAAAGTATATTAATGATTCGTTCTAGATAATGACCTTAAGGCTGTTTTAAGTAGTATACATGTTGCGTCATATGGTAGAATAAAAATATGACAACATAGAGTGACCTTATGCTCAATGTGAACCTCTTGTTTGACATAAGAGTCTTGTTGCCTAGTTTTAATTATGAAGCTGCAATGAATAATATAGAAGATATGTGTTTCTGTTTGTGGAGTGCTTGTGACGTGACTATCATTTGGTTTGGTATACTTGCTTAATGGCTGTAAAGAAACTGCATAAAATGCTTTGGTTGCTACTATAATTTTGGTATAATATGCCTTGTTGTCCTTGCTGAAAAATAATTGCAGGATGGTATGATTTATACATTGTCTATGGATTGGTTGGTTATGTCAGAGTGGAGTGTTGAAGGGGTATGATCAATCTTATAATGATATGGGCTGTTATATACATCTGGATGTATTCGATCTGTATATGCTGGAATTGCAGGTTATGTCATTCATTTTTATGTGTTAGGATGCATAATAACTGTTGAAGTCATATGGGTTTTAAGTGGCATGAGATAAGGGTAAAGGGGTATATTTGCTATTATCCATTGTTCAGATTTTAAAAACACATCTTTAATGATTTGTAGCTTACTCAAATTACTTATTAGTTAATTTTAAGTCTGAGAAAATGGTTGGATAAATAAAGCTGTTATAATGCAAATTTGGTCTAGTGTAGCTGGGTGGTTAAACTTGTAAATGATATGAAATCACTTGATACTATAATACTGAATCTGTTTGAGTTTGTTAATTATAAGTTGTTGTTAGGTGTGTTTATATGATGGGAGAATAAGTGTAACATTGATTTAGCTTTTTTTAATCTGTTAGCCATTTTGGTAATAATAAATATATAGTTGAATGAGTGCTATGGATACTAAATAAAACTGTTCGAACATTGACATTTACATATTGATAATGAACTTGGTTGATTATGTTTGAAGATGTATGAAGGTTATAGATATTATAATTTTGCTTAATTAATTCCAGATTTGTATATGATTTTTTATGATATGAATCAATGAGGCTGGTGGAGATAAATTGATAGCTTGTGATGTAGAGATAGTATAATTATTGTGCATTTAAAATTATTGGAATGTAATTGAGAAGTTGATGGTTGTTTTAAGTAGTTCAAATACAACGCCATAGCAGTTGTAACTGCACCTCTGTCTCCAGCCACCATCGTGGAGCACCCGTCACCAGCCACCACTGTGACGCCATAAAACCAATGGTCACCATCCAGGTTGGTCCTCGTTTCCTTTCCTCACAAGTAATCATTAAAAGAACAAAACTAGACAGCTCCATAAGGAATAAAACGCCCTAAATATCTGTTTGTAATCTTGTATATAATTCAGTAAGAGACACACACGAAAAACCACTAAACATAACACATCCTGCTCTTACACTTAATTTTGCTTGGCAACCAATTTGATTTTCTTCCAGAAGAATGTGCTCCACAATGCACGTCCAGTTTTCTCTCACAAATTTCTTATCAAAGTGACCTTATTACGGTAATGACAAGTTCATTTTACTTTAATATTTATCCAAATTCTTTGCTTTTTTTGAATCAGAATACCATTTAAGATTATGTGAAGACTAGATATTTGTGTATGGTTCAGGATTAGATATTTGTGGATAGTTCAATAGGGTCCGATAGCAACATAAATAGGGTCCACAAACCTTTCAAGGATTGGCTATGGTATCCACTTAGAAGGTGCTAAGTCAACCATGTAGAGCTGGCTTAATAAGGTGGTATATGCCTTCATTTATATACTATTATTTAGCCATTTCTTTAATTGATTTGGGATCTCCAGCAAAATTTATAATGTAATCTCAACTTCTCACTTTAGAGGAATTAAACCTTCCTGTAAAAAAATCTTTGAAAACGGCATTGAATTTTACCATCACTCAAGGCCGAACCGATGTTGACGCCAATGACTAGAATTGTTATAATAACACATTTAAAGCACCGAGGAAAAATTGCAGCAGAAACCAAATCCAGCATTTCACAATTTTGCTTTCACAACCAGTTTCTAAATCTCCAACTCAAAAACTTGTATATTTCTAACTGAATCCCAAATCTGGAAAAGTGGGGCTGAACCCTTTTTCAGTTACAATGAATGAAAATGACTTTAATCAAAAGGTTCAAGCTTTTAGCAGTTTTTGTACCTTCATGACTTTGCCTATATTCCACCTCATCTTTTGCGCCTTCAGCTATTTATAAGCTAGTGTGCTCTCCGCTATTGATTCTGCCACCCTTTTGTATTTGTGCTGTTGTTATTATCTGATTTGTTGCCATGCTTTAGATTGATGATTATGGTTTTTGTGTAGTCTCTCTCTTGGTAATTGCTGAATGGAAACTAGAAAACTACTATCCCTTTTGAGAACTTGTAAGAATTCGAAGTCACTGAAGCAAGGCAAGCTCATTCATCAGAAAGCTGTAACATTGGGATTGCAAAATGATATATATTTATGCAAGAATTTGATTAACTTATATCTTTCTTTCCATTTGTATGATCATGCAAAGTGCGTTCTTGATACTATGAAAAACCCATGTGAGATATCCTTGTGGAATGGCCTGATAGCTGGTTACACTAAGAATTACATGTATGTGGAAGCCCTATAGCTTTTTGAGAAGTTGTTACATTACCCTTACCTGAAACCTGATAGTTATACTTACCCTAGTGTTATTAAGGTTTGTGGGGGGTTGTGTAGGTTTCTGTTGGGAAAAATGATCCATACATGCTTGATAAAAACTGGTTTAATGATGGACATTGTTGTTGGAAGCTCTCTTGTGGGTATGTATGCAAAATGCAATGCATTTGAGAAAGCCATTTGGCTGTTCAAGGAAATGCCTGAGAAGGACGTGGCATGCTGGAATACCGTAATTTCTTGTTATTACCAAAGTGGAAACTTCAAAGAAGCCCTACGGTATTTTAGC